TCTCTCTCTCTCTCTCTCTCTCTCTCTCTCTCTCTCTCTCTCTCTCTCTGTTTTTTAAAGGCAGGGTCTCAGGGTCTCTTGGTGTAGCCCAGGCTGTCCTCTCTCAGTAGACCAGGCTGGCTGTGAAGCCACAGAGCTCTGCCTGCTTCTGCCTCCCAAGTGCTGGGATTAAAGGAATGCGGCCCCATGCCCAGCCATTCTCCTGCTGAGGACCATCTACTCAGGCAGCTGCCTGGAGTCTTCCTCTGCAGAGCACATCTGCCTTCCTTGTCACTCAAACCATGGCTTTGCCTTACCCCCCTCCCAGCAGGTGCAGGGTCCCAGCTGTTTACTCTGATGATTTTCTCTCAGACTCCAGTCAAATTGTCCCCAAACTTTCTCCTGAGTTCGTTATAAATTCTTTTTACTTGTGAGACTGCATACCTGCAAAAGGAGACATTAATTCCCCGAGAACTATGAGGGAAGGAAGACACGAGGGGAGACAGGGGCAGGCAGCTGTGTTGAGCCTGGTAAAGCCAAGAAAGCATGGCTGCAATCATAGTTGTTTTGAAACAAGAGACATCAGGAGCCATTGGGTGGGAGACACTGATGGGTGAGGCAACTGTACCTGGGAAACTGAGTCACGAAAGGGAAGTGGACAAAAGGGAAGATAGCTTGGGGCATTTAACTTTCTGGGTGAAGGTACAAAGGAAGAACACTTGGGAACACAGTAAAAAGGAATCTTTGGAAGCAAGAGAAAGCAGCCCTGCTCACTCTGACCTGGGCTTTGGGTCGCCAGGATTTTGAGAGAGAACTCGGGGGTTTCTGCTAAAGGATGGCTGGAATGACCGTTACAGAAAGGGATCAAGGTGGTTAATAGTACCTTAGTGACACAGGTGGACACCCCTGTCACATGCAGGCTTAGACTGTAGGACCAGAATGGTTACAGTCACACAGCTCAGCCACACACAAACAGGACAGGACAGATGGGGACACCTGAAAAACATACAGCTAGTCCAGGAGTCAAGCCAGAATCCAGTCAGAACTGTCCCCGACCCAGCTTCCAGCTTTCCCAGGCACACTGAAAGAACAGAACATGCCTGGGCTAGGTTGCTGCCCAGGGAGCTCATGGACAGCATCTCCCAGGACTGAGGCTTTCCCTGAAGTTGAGTAGGAAAAGGCCTTGCGTGCTGGATTCCTTCCCTTGAATCCTTAGAGAAAGGAGCAGAAACAAGTAGCTGTATCTTTACCTGCCCTGGTGTACTGCACCAATAGTTACACCTTTACCTGCCCTGGTGTACCCCACAAATAGCTACATCTTTACCTTTCCTGGTGCAGCACTGTTGCCAAGGAGTCACACCGGCACTGTGCCCATCTCACAGAAGACAGTGAAGATCAGAAGGGTACCCAGTAAGGCAAGGCTAAGGTTCAGCTCTATTGCCGCCCCCTTCTCTTCTCTCTGCAATGTCAGGGCCCAGTGGCAGAACCCCAAGGATCCAGAGTCTCTTACCTGGGTCCTGTGGCTGGCTCCCAACCTGCATGCTGTTTACTGGGGGTCCTATGTCTGCCTCCACAGAGATGGAAAGGAGGCTCAGGCTGCCACATTGACCGCCTGGGGCCCAATGTATATTTAATGACATCTATTACTCCTGTTTTGTCTCTGGAAAGCAAGAGCAGCTGACAGGGGAGCAGGAACAGCCTGAGAGCAGTAGCTGAACTGCAGTCTGGCTCCAGCCTTAGAGCTCTCTCCCTTTCTGGGGATTGTAGAGAAATCAGGTAACGCACCCCAGAGCCCACTTCTCAGGCAGCCAAGAGCACTTGTACACTGTCTATGGAGAAGCACAGGACTCAGCCAGCACCAGTGGAGCCTCCAGCCTGGCTCGAGCATCAGCTGCCCTGCACTTAGAGAAGCCTTTTGCTATTCCAACAGTCGCAAGGGCTTCCTAAGGATGCCATCTACTCTGGCAACTGAGCCTGGCCTCTAGAAAGGCCAGGGGGGCTGGGGGTGGGGTGGGGGAACCTGCAGCCTCTAGACAGTCTTCTTGGGCTGGGCGGATTCTGCCTTCTCCTGGTTAACCAGGCCCAGGCCAGTCCCTCATAGGCCGACTTTCCATTCATTGCCAGGTTCCCTGCTGCCCCATTCCCCATTCCCACTGGACTAAGCACAGAAACACAAGTTCCCCTGGTCTGGTCTGGAACCACTTTTTTCTTTTTTTAAATTTTATTTCAGAATAGAGGGCAGGCATAGGAGCTTAGAAGGAAACAGAGCTAGATCAGAGGTCCCACCCAGGTAGGAGGAGGCTGCTCTGGGAAGGGCTCCAAGGGGGAGGCACTTTAGGACACTGGCTGGGCCCTGGCTTCCACGAGGGACAGCCCTGTGTTGGGAGGACCCGTGGAAGGCTTCATCTTGAGACCACAATGTGCTAGAGTTGCTGTCAGGAGTCTCAGCCTCGGGGATCCTACCTGAGCTGGGGTCAGCTTAGGTCTAGCTGGGAGGATGTGGGTAACTAGCTCCTTGAGTGCTCAGATGGGCCACAGGACATGGCCACAGGCTGTAGGCTGCTTGGTAAGCCTACCATAGGTACAGGCTTTATAGGGAATGTCCTCAGTTAAGCCCTGGTCCCCAGCCTTGCCTGTCCCAACACTGCTTACTGAAGGAGATCATGAACCAGCCAACTCAAGAGTCACTTCCTGGGGTATATGTTTGTACTTTTCCTGTTTGTGTGTTCCAGGGGGTCCAACTCCCCAGGAGCCAAGCTGCAGGAAGGTGGTATGATTACTTCTTCACAATTTGGATGACATCCTCATGCTCCATAGTGTGAGTCAGGCCCACCCGCTGCGGGCTGTACTTGGTGCTGGTACCCTGATGGAAGAGGGCAGAGGGGACATGTCAGTCTCTGGATGGCCAAGGCTGCAGGACAGTGGGATGCAAGGGGAGATGTGAATGCCAGAGGAAGCAGGGGCTCCGACAGAACAAACTCTGTGGGCCCAGACAGGGAAGCATCCCACTTAAGTCTTAGAGATGGAGAGACCTACTTCCAACTCTGGTTATTCATGGGGTAGGACAGACAGACACAAGGGTCCCCATGCACAAGGGCAGGGATGCTGCCAGGAATGCTGTGCTGAGCCTAGCCCTGAGGATGTTGGGTCTAGCCTTCTATCTAGCTCCTGCTCAGACTTACCCACACCAAGGCATACTTGAACTGGCTGGCCAGTGACCGATGGATGCGGTGGCACTACGGGACAGGAAAGTCAGGGAGATGATGAGGCCCCATAACTGGGACTTGTGCTGAGCAACCATCCCACATGAGGTACTTTGATGCCCCAGGCCACAGGTAAGGCAGCTATAGACCCCTGCTTTATCCTACCCACACCCAGCTCTAGGCGGGTTTGAAATCACACCCAGGAACACTTCTGCAGGTAGTAGCCCTCTGCTTGTCTCTTCTGGACAACTGTACCCATGTTCCCTTTAAAAAGGTCAGGAAGGCTTTTCCAGAACACCCACCCTGGCTTGGAGTCATAACTGCCTGGTCGCTGTCTGTCAAGCTGTCTGGCTGTGGCCTACAGCATCTTATATATCACATCACACCATGCCATCCTCCTGGTAGAAATATCATATATGGTGAGAGCCAATTTACTCTAGACAAGTAGCCTGGTCCAAGGTGGAACATGCTCCCCAAGAAGGGCCAGCACCAGTGTCTACAGCTCACTATGCTCCCAGTAGGAGGCACTACAGCCATGGTCCAGTAGAAGCTAGAGTACTCTCAACCCTCTTTAGCCCATGGCTATGAAACCTGGGCCCAGAAGAAGAGGTAACTAGCCTTGCTGTGTGTCCAAGTACCACAAGGCTAGTACCCTGTTGGCTCAAGTTAGACTTGCCAAATGAAAGGCGGACTACTAGCCTGCTTGTCTTTCTGAGGGACTGCAGGAATGGTTGGTTTCCTGCCCCCCAGACAACAGATCCTGAGAAATATTGGGGATGGAGGGAAATACAGCCTATGAAAAGAACTCAGGATCATGATTGTGTGGCCTGACGATACTCAGGGGTGTCAGGCAGCAATTCTAACAAGGAAAGGGACACTTATGTCCAAGACCACAAACTCCTGACTGGATGTTCCTTCAGATCTGTATTCAATATTAGTTTGGACTCCAGGGCACCTCAGGCCATGCCCTCCAAACTTCTTCCTGAACTACATCTGAGCAGACCACAGACCCACAGACAACAGTTGAGCTCTGGGGACAGGGACCTGAAATCTGCTAAGCTCTGGTTAGACCAGAGCTACCACATTTGGAGCTGATGTTCAATGAATGCATGATGGGGCAGGAAGCAGCCTCAGCCAACCTGGACTTAGGCAGTTGGAGAATAAGTAAGAAGAGTCAGGCCCCAGGAGCCCTCGGGAGCTCAAAGGTGGCCACAGGAGGTGGTGATTTGGAGCAACAGCTCTGCCACTGGGGGAGTTGGGGGGAAGAAAGAAAACTGGCCTTTCCCAGGCTTAGCCTCATACACACTGGAGAAATTGGAATATAACATAACAGCAAGGGTGAAAAGGTGGCAGTTCTCCTTCATTGGCACCAACCCTGTGATATCAGGAGCAGAGAGACAAAGACTACTGGGCAAGGGCACCTTTTCAGTGCCAGGTGGTCAGCTGAGCCGTATTCACTGTGATCTTAGCCACCCTGCAGCTGTTACCCAATCCTACAGGACAGGAAAAGAGAGGTCCTCCTCCACCACCACCACCAGCGCTCATCTCACAGGAAGAACCCATCTCAGTGTCCAATAACCAGGTAAGCCAAGGAAAGCCTGCTTTACCTCACCTCTCCCTACCCTGGCTGGAACAAATAGCTCAGGCCACATCCTGGCCATTCAGGTAGGTTTTCAACTTACCACGTGTTCAACAGAAGCCCCTTTCCGGAGAATGATGGCGTCTGTGAAGTCCGGTCTCTCTGCAGGGAGATGAAGGCATGTCAACCAGTCTCTGTCCTGAATCAGCTTCCTTTATAATGGGGCCCTGGTTTCAGAGACTTGTTCTACCTCCCAGGACCCCAGCCTTGCTCCTTACCATCTGGCATACCGTCAGCATAGAATCTTGTGCTATGCCACCCTGTCATCCATTACAGAACCCAGAGAGGAGTCATGGCATGTGTGAGCTGGATGGGTAGGGGTGAATGGATGCTGCAGCCTAGGTGGGAAGCCATAGATAGCCCTTCCTAGCTTACAAAGGCAGGGTTACCACAAACTGCCTCACATTCAGGTAAGCAGTGTGAATAAGGAACCTAACAAGTGGCCTGGCACTGTGGGGACCTGGCACAGCTTCCAGACCAGCTGCCCCACAGCCAGCATCTCAGCCACGTGAGCTTAGGCAGAGCAAGGTCCTCTGCCTGGAGAGAAGACCAGGGCCCATTCTAACAGACAAGCTGGCAATGGAGACCTCTGCATGCCACTAACAGGCTGACAGCTCTGGGAAAGTTGGGGGAGGCTCATTTCCAAGCTGTCATTCTCAACTCACGCCCTCTCTTCTTGGTGTAAATGCAGGTTAGAGCCAGGTACTCCCAAAGCATCTCCAGCAGGTAGTCCAGGTTCAGCTTCATACCGCAGCTGCAGGGAAGGCAGTGTCAGGCAGGCAGGGCCCTGGGGCTCAGAGGCCATATAGTCTCTACTGTTGGAAGTAGTACTAAGGCCAGTGTGACCCTGCCATCACCTGTTAACAAGCAGGTTATCATGATGCCAGCTGTACCTCTGGTTACCCAGCATCATAACCAACAGAGCTCAGCATCCTCCTATGGACCAGTTTGGCTGCATGTTATAGGGAGTCCAGAGTCCATGGTATCTGTTATAGGGGACAGAGGCCTGCTGTGTTGGGACCATGGGCATGTTCACACTTCCCTAAAAAAGATAGATGGATTGCTAAAGGTCCAGGGCCACCCACAGGTATCTCAGAATACAGAGGGAACATGTGCTGGCTGGCTTTGTGTGTCAACTTGACACAGCTAGAATCATCAGAGAGGAAGGAGCCTCAGTTGAGGAAATGCCTCCATGAGATCCAGCTGTAAGGCATTCTCAATTAGTGATCAATGGTGGAGGACCCTACCCACTGTGGGTGGTGCTACCCACAGTCTAGCTAAAGTTCTATAAGAAAGTAAGCTGAACAAGCCAGGGGAAGCAAGCCAGTAAACAGCACCCCTCCATGGCATCTGCACCAACTTCTGCCTCCAGGTTCCAGCCTGACTTACTCCATTGGTGGATTATCATCTGGAAGTGTAAGCCAAAATAAACCATTGCCTCCCCAACTTGCTTTTTGATCATGGTGTTTCATTGTAGTAATAGAAACCCTAACTATGACAGAGGAACCTAAGTTTTGGGACAGCCAGACTCAGGTGGCCCTGGATGCTGTGGTAAGTACAAGCTGGGAAAGGCGACCATCTCCCAAAACCAAGGATGAATATGTCTTAGGCAGCACCAAGTATCTGGACAGATGTTGCCCTTTGCAGCAGCTGCAATGTCTAGGAGACAACCTTCAGCTGTCACCTGCTCCCACAAGCCAGGCCCTTAAGGAAGCCATCAGAACACTTGGTTTGACGGAGGGAGGCAGAGAAGCAGAGGACTTAATACAACCCCCTGAAATAGAGCTCTGCAGGGTGCAGGGTGTCATCAGGAAGTGAGTCACTGACTGCTGGCCAGAGTCACCCGTGACCCATGCAATAGAGAAGGGTAGGAAGTGGGGTCAAAGTGGAATTCACTCATCCAACAGCTATGAGAGCTCTTCCTGCAGCTCCTGGGCTTTGACCTCTCCCTTGGGAGGAGATGCTGGGGATCCAGCTCTCTTCCAAGCTGAGGTGGCCTGCCAGGGCCTTATCCCCTGGGATTAGAACTCTCAGAGATAGCCAGGCGGTGGTGGCGCGTGCCTTTAATCCCAGCACTTGGGAGGCAGAGGCAGGTGGATTTCTGAGTTCGAGGCCAGCCTGGTCTACAGAGTGAGTTCCAGGACAGCCAGGGCTATACAGAGAAACCCTGTCTCAAAAATCCTTAAAAAAAAAGAACTCTCAGAGAGACAGGACATGGCAATGCACGCCTTTAATCCCAGTAGTCGGGAAGTGGAGACAGGTGGATATCTGTGAGTTCAAGGCCAGCTTCCAGCCTCCACTACATAGTGAGTTCCAGAATAGCCAGAGCTATACAGAGACCTGTCTCAAAACAAGAAAACAATCTGAAAGGAGAACAGCATGTCAAGAAGCCACTTTCTTACCTGATAACAACACTGTTGGGCTTTCGAGCTAAACGGTCTACTTCTTCCATGGAGATCTGGTCGATTTTGTTATACACCTGAGATTGGATAGCAGAGGAACAGTCACGCCAGGGACAGAGCCTCAGTGGCAACACCTGCCCACAGGCTGGCTCCCCTCAATGACACTGGCTGGAGGAAATCCCCCTAAGAAGAACCCTGGTTTCAAGCTCTCCATCCCTTTAAGACTCCAGCAGCCACTGAGGCAGGGGAGGTGAATGGGGAGAGCCCTGGCTCTCAGTTCCTTTCAGCAGACTACTGAAGTGGATGGGAGCCATCTATCTGGGTCACTGAAGTACAAGAGATACACTCAGAGAAAAGTCACGTGGCCTGGGCCACTGCACCACTTACATAGAGGCAGGGCATATACACCCGATTGCCCACAATCACATCGATGAAGTCATCTGGAGAGCAGTCTTCTCGGAAGAGTACCTCGGCATTGAAGATCTCTGAGTAGCTCAGATTAAGGGCAAGCTGTGTACTGGCTTGGTGTCCGAATGTGTCTTTTAGTGGGAGGGCCCAGCAGTAAAATGCACTGGCCACAGGGACCTGGCCACAGTCTGCTTGTGAAGTTCTACAAGCTCTAAAGGCTTGAGGGACTCTCTCACCTCTAGTCCCTAAACACAAAATACGAAAAACAAACCAACAAACGACTTCAGATTTTGCTGTCAAGAGTGAACTAGCACCTGGAACCCCAGGCTACCCCAGCAGCACCAGGTGAAAGCTGGAGGTCCCATCCTGGCCTGCTTGGCCTCACTCACTGGTATCTCTTGCCTCTGGAGTGCTGGCCCATTCTCTAACACCCTGCAAACACAGCCCCTGCTTCTTCTCCAAGACAGAGACCCCAGTTCCCATGACATTCTGTCTTTCTTCTAGATGTCATCTGACACCTGAACATCCAACGAGGAGCCAGGAAGCCAATTGCCAAGTGTGTGGCTAGGTCCTGAACCCTGCCAGCTGCCCCAGGCTAGGAGGCTCTTCCTGGAAGGATACTGTATTCGTGTAGGATGAGCTGCACCAGCTTCTCCGAGCATTGTGTCAGTGTGACCGTTGAGTTAAAGGAGATGCCACCACCTTTCTTGGGCTAGAACAATAGAGAAGCAGGGAAAGCTGCTGGTGAAGGGGCAGCAACATCAGTTGTCCATCCCTTGTTCCCAGGTTGCCCCTGGGTAGAGTGTGAACATACCTTGAAATAGATGTTGGGCTTGTGCTTGTTCAGACGAATACCCACAGACTCCAGCTCCTTCTCCAGCAGGGACCTAGGCAAAGGCTGAGTGAGCCTTCACAGGCTGTTTCTAAGCAAGCCACAGAGCTTCCTCATGGCCTATGCAGCCCTGATTGCATGGACAGAAGCCAGCTCCCTCTTCGAGCCCCTTCCCTAGCAACCCAACAGCCCAAAATTGTGGCGGAGTTTCTGAAGCAGAGGTCAGACAGTGCCCTCATGGGTGCCTAGAGGAGGGTGACGAGCTCCCAGAGGCTTACTGTTAGAGACAGGCTAGTGTGCGGCTCTGACAGCGGGTGGACAATAACCAAGGCTAGGCTGTAGCTCTCTACTGAAGCCTAAGGTCCCCAATCCTAGCTGGACATCATCTAGTGGGGAGAACACCTAGGCTGGGTGGTAGCTAGGTTAGATACAGACCCCTTGAGCCAGAGATACATGGGACCAGCCCTGTGGGTTCCCGTCCTGCTGCACACACAGACCTCTGCACATCTCCCTTGGTGGCATCCAGCATCATGACGACAACATCAGCTGTGCGTGCTACAGCAATGACCTGCCGGCCGCGTCCTCGCCCTGCGCAGATAGAGGAAAGGCTATGCCTCAGGAAGGCACAGGCAAGAAGTAGGAAAATGTGACTATGCAGCCTGAAACACCTACTCCCCTCCAGACACTCGCCATTCTGGTTACATTCTGCTCTGTGCTATGATTTTTCTTGGCATTTTTGAGGGAAATCCATGAGCTTATTTATTCAAGGACTCTGGTTTTGTTTATGTTCTTTGAGACAAGGTCCACTTATATAACCTAGGCTGGTTCCCCACCCCCCATGCTGGGACTACAGGTTTGTACCGCCTTAGCCCAGCTAAGACTGATTCTAGAAGTCACCGCCTTAAGTGGAATGACAGGGTAACAATGGCCTTCTTCCCCTCCCTGCAGAAAAGCCCAGCCCAGCCTCATGAACACTTGTTCATTTACTCCTCAATACTGCTGTATTTGGTAGGACTATGCCCATTGTGAAGATAAGCATTCAACCACCGGACCAAGATCACAAAGGGAATATGACACCAGCACCTGAACTGTAGCCTGTCCTGTCTGGAAGGCAAGGGTACCAGGACTAGGGGTCCACAGGTGGGCTCCATGACAGCCCTGTCCATTTTCAACACTCAATGACAGAACTACAACCTGCTTCCCACACCCTGCCCTGCTCCCACCTTGCGCTGCTCCTTCAATGATTCCAGGAAGGTCCAAGAGTTGGATGTTGGCGCCTTTGTACTGGGAAAAAGAAGAGAAGGGTGAGGCAAGGGCTGGGCTACTGTGGCCGGGAGCCTGCCTGGGCCTGTGCACCTCCAATGGGCTCACAGTTGGTGCCAACTGTGGCCAAGTCAGGGCCCATCACCTCAGCCTGGTATAGACTACCATATAAGAGCTAGAGATGCCTGAGAAGGCCTATAGAACACACTGCTGTACAATCAATAAATCAGCTCATATGGAGGCACAAGGCTCCAACAGCTGGTACCCATGCAAGCAAGGCTGAAGTCTGAGGCTTTACAGAGGGGTAAAGAAGCAACCAGCCAGCAGTCAGGGGCTGGAGCTGGATGTGCAGAGGGCAAAGAACCAGGCAGAACTGCCATATGCCAGCCTGATCAACTGGGACAAGTTAGGGTTCTAGGCCAGCCAAGTACTTCTCAGGTCCCCAAAGGGCCAATGCTGCAGGGTATCCCCACATAGGGGCATCTATCTCAGATGCTTATACAATGAGCATTTCACAAGCATACCTCTTTCATGGAGGGCCCTGCACGGTCCACTTACTTCAATGACCCCGGGGATGCACGTCAGGGTGGTAAACTCGTAGGATGCAGCTTCGCTGGCTGTAGAGGTCATCAGACTCAAGAAAGTAGACTAGGAGAGAAAGAATAAAAGGCCACTGCTCTAAGGAGTCTTAACTCAGTCTCCTGGGCAAGTCCCTGTGGGGTAAGGGGCTGCCTGGGTAGACAGAGCAAGAGCCTTCCTTGACTTTAGAGTGGGGACTCGGCCGAGTATACAGAATAACTGTTCAGAGAGAGCATGGTCTCTAGCATGCAAACATGGACTGGCACCAGAGGCAATGTTCTCTGGAGGCCTCACAACTGTCTGAGGTGAGGGACCTGGCTCCTAAGCTCTCCCCGCCTGTTCCAGAAGCCTGTCTCTGGCCCTATTGTCCTAGTGAGACTAGAATTCTGAGCTTGCTGCTGCTCTGGGGCTGTAAAGGGGGTTGCAAATAGAGAGGAGTTGGTTCTGAGACTACTGGCTGCCACCGTACCCAGCTACAGGCTAACTGTTGGATACATTCCTGATCCTAAATCTGATGGCCCACCTGTACGACAGGACTCAGGAGCAGCACACTTTCTATTATAGAGAGAAATGATACACTAGTTACAGAGGGGAGACAAAACAAATCAAATATGCCTAGTCCATAGCGAGTTCCCAAGGAGCAGAGGCTGCTGCTCATACCCCTCTCTGCTGCACTGCCTTGGGATGGATTCAGGAGCTGCTCCTGGTGCAGACCCAGACAGTGCTTCCAGGCCTACATTTGAGCAGCCTCCTGTGTCCATCTTTCTTCTGCTGTATTGTCTGTATACCAGTAGACTGCTAAAAAGTAAGCCAGCACCTCAGTCTTGGTTTCCACAACCATTTCCCCAAAAAGGAAACCAGGCATCCTTGGAGAACTGGCAGATCCTAGCCTAGCAGGAAGTAGATCAGATCAGACAGGTCTCTGGAGGGGAGTTTGGCTGGAGGGACACATGCTGGGATCATTCTGAAGCAGTCAGATAGTCCCAAAGCCAGGACTTCATGGAACACCTAAGCATCACTTTGTCAAAATGTCAAAGTCATCAAATCAGGCTGAGACTATGGCTCAGTGGCACAACGCTGCTCTACCCAGTACTGAAATGAGGTGGGGAGTTGGGGCCGGGGAGCTGAATCAGTCAAGTGTTTACTTCCCTAGCACTCATGTAAAGAACCTAGGAGTGGTCTTATAATCTCCCTGCACTGGGGAGGTGGAGGCAAGGGGAAGCCCTGGGGTTGGGTCAGGAAGACTAGCCTATTTGACAAGGTCCAGGCCAGTAAAAGGTCTTTCTTAAAAAAACAAAAACAAAAACCAAGGTGGAGGGGCTGGAGAGATGGTTCAGCAGTTAAGGGCACTGGCTGTTCTTCCAGAGGTCCTGAGTTCGATTCCCAGCAACTACATGGTGGATCACAACCATCTATGTGATATGATGCCCTCTTCTGCCATATAGGTGTACATGCGGATAGAGTACTCAGAATAAAAATAAATAAATCATTAAAACAAAAACAAAAACTAGGTGGAAACCCTGAGAAATGATACCGGACATCGTCCTGATCTCCACGCCTATACACATACATGTGCACAAACACCCTCATACACATGTATCCATACACACGTGAATATGAGAAAAATAAAACTAAAGAGCAGGGCCAGATAAGGTGGGGCACACCTTTAATCCTAGCAATCAGGAGATAAGAGACAGGTAGTTTGAGGCCAGCCTGGTTTACAGAGCCAATTCCTGCCCCTGTAGAGCTACATAGGGAGACATGAGCCTTGAAACAAAACAAAAAGTAAAAATTAAAGGGTGCTGAGGCTGCCTAGAATTAGGGGGACAGGACAGGTGAATGTGAGGGGGAATCCAGGTTGGTAAGGAGGCAGCAGTTTAAGGAGCTGTGTATCCAAGTATGGACACAAAGACAGCAGCATGACACTAATGCATGGGTTGTAACAAGGGTGCTATTCTCATGTAACAATGTTACCAGTAAACAATGTTATAAGGACTCTGGCATCTCTGCAACAAAAAAATCCAAGATCATTCTAGTATTAAAAACCTATTGTCTGTCAAGATGGCTCAGCAGATAAAAAGTATTTGCCACCATGCCTGACAACTTGAGTTCTATCCTAAGGACCGATATGATAGAAGGAAAGAATTGATTCTTTTACGTTCTCCTCTGACCTCCAGTGTGGCACATATATGAAATGTATTAAAACCTTATCTGCCCCGGCAAAGATGCTTACTTAATCTTACCACATAAAATGGAAGTCAAGATAGGACATTTAACTGAACCACTATCCAGAAGAAACTTTCTAGAAAACTTCACAGTGACTCCATCACTTAACTTCAAGCCAGTACGTCTGGTAGCTCTGAGGCCCAATTTCTCTGTTTTCCTGATGCTCACTCAGGCAGATAGCCTGGCTCTCCCAATGTCTACAGGCAGGCTTGCCCTAAGGGCCTCTTTCTGGAAGCTCCAAGCTGTATCCTCACAGCACTTAGCATTCATGGAGGGAGGGCATCTGATGAACTAACCACTCACTAGAGAAGTCTTCACCTACCCAGACACGTCTTGAAGGACCTTAGACTTCCTTGGAGCTTAAAACCAACTAAGATGACACTTGAATTTGCTTAAATTGTCTTTTCTGAGAGGAAATACGTGTAGGCAGAGTTGGGCATGGCAGTAGGAGGCACAATGCCCAGCACAAGGTACACACTGAATAAATGTGTGCCACTGGCTGAGTTGGAAGGTCAACTATTGGTGCTAAGGAGCAGAAAGAGTAGCCTCTATGTTAGGGTGAGGGGAGGTAGGGATGGGCATGCAGGCAGGTAGGTGACCCTCGATTGTTCTCCCCAAGGTCCACAGGACCATCACTGACCTTACCCACAGAGGGAAAGCCAATCAGTGCCACACGAGCATCACCTGACTTCATGACATCAAAGCCCTCTCCTTTAGATGAGGCTGACTTGGATGGTTCCAGGAGCTGGGCCCGATACTTGGCCAGTTTTGCTTTCAGCAGGCCCAGGTGGTACTCCGTGGCTGGAGGATGTAAAACCAGGTAGAAATAAGTATCGAGAGTCTTTACCTGGTGGGTCAGGTGGGGACCCACATAGGGCCAAGTGCTGACTGAGGACACCAAGACCAGACAACAATCACCTCAAGGAGACCTCAAAGGTCCCCTTGGTACCCCAACGGCACCTCGGCATCATAAGGAGCAGGGATGGGAAGCACTAACGGTACCTGGGGCAAATGGGAGGTTACAAGGCTGCTCTCTGTTCACTCTGAAGCTTTAGTCTTTACTGGTAGCTGCCTTAAAGATTACGAGCCAATTCTGAACAGCCAGGAAGTTCCTGAACTCATGTCTTGTTGCATCCCAAAGATGTCCAGAGAAAACTTGGGTCTGGCTTGAAGGCCTTGGGTCTGCCCTGCTTCTCTACGGACACAGGGCATTTTCTGTGGTGCTAGAATTCCATGGGTGCACCACTGTGGGCAGGACGGGGACACTGTGGCACACACACATTTGCCATGCTGAGAGACGCCCCTGAGGAGATCCAGGTGGCCACACAACCTCCCTGCATGTGTCTCATCACTGTAGCCCCAGGCGGAGGGATGGGCACCTTGTGCTCTGTTTTAACTTTATGTATCTTGACAGCACCCAGCATTCATGGAGGGAAGACATACTGTTTTCACTGCACATGCTTTCCTTTATAGTATTGTTAGGGTACCATACTGTTTCCAAATTCTGGGGGGACATGGGTTACATTATTGAGAAGGAATTCTATTTCAGGTCTTACCAAATCTCCATGATAATAGGGGTATGGCTGAGACTGAAAACACGAGGACCTCGCCCGTCCTGCCCCCTCTCCTTCCTCCCTTCTCTCACCAGCTTACCTTGTCCTTGCCTCAAGGCCTATGAACCTGCGGTTTAAATCAGATCAATCCCACCCTGCCATTACTGCCTAGAAAAGTCACTTAGCCTTGTGCATCAGTTTATCTGCAAAATAGGAAGGACAGCAGCACTAACTCCTTCACATTGCTTCAAGACTTGGAAAAGTACCAAGGACACTGCTTGGCAATCCCACCTCTCTCCACTGATCCCCAACGCTTACAGTTTGATGCTTCCTTGCCATTGTATATTTGGGATGGTTTACTTTAAATATTAGGTGCTCACTCTGGCAGGGGCTTTGCACATGTGAACTTCAACAGAGTGGGTGTTATCCCTAACTACAGATGTGGACATTGGGTCGCCAAAAATTGACATGACTTTACAAGGCTACATAGCAAGAACGTAGTGGACAAATTCTCCAGTCCCTACTTCCTCGACACTACCTATCTGGCGCCTGTCTGTCTGCCCGGACAAGCTGTTTTGTGAGATGTCTTCTCTTGCCCTTTTCAGCATGAAGGCCCAGCAGCCAGGACCCTAGGGGAAAATCCCCGACATTGCCTTTCTGGGTCACGGGCTTATTGTGAGTGCTGAGTTTTCTCTACTTAAACACTGAGTCCAGCACTGATTAGATTTCTCAAGAACCCTGAAACCACATCGCTGAACGTGCCCACTCCCGCCTCGGCATTTTCCCGGTGTTTCTCCGGCCTCGGAGGCGGCTCCAGTTGTTCCCTCATTTTTACAGACAAGAAAAACAAGGAGGATAGAAGGGGAGACCCCTCCGATCCCGCCCTCACCCTTGTTCTTCTGCGTCCGAGCGATCTCCTTCTCGATCTCCGAGATTTTCTCCAAGATCCCCATAGTTGCAGCTTCGGCGGAGATTCACCCTGCCTATAGGTTACAACGCTGGGAACTCACGTCTGGTGCGGGAGGCAAAGCAGCCAGAACCAGGAAGCGCACCAAGAATGGCGTCCTCCTGAGCTCCCGGTGCTGCGAGATTCGGATTCCGGGCACACCACGTGGAGAGCAAATACCATCCGTTCCTACCTTGAGCAGCTGCGATGTGCCAGGACGTAGCCCGGTTTTGACTTTGGCCCATTAGGGCCAGACCCACAACAACTAGTTTGAATGGCAGGGGTTGGGGGGGACCTCTTTACTCTTTGATAGTGACAGAAAAGGAGATGGGCGGAAGTCTTATGGCTCCCATTTTGTAAAGACGTTAAAAGAGGATTGGGGTCTAGCCTGCTGGGGTAGCCTGTAATCCCAGCACTCAGGAGACAGGGGCAGGAGGATTGCTGCTAATTTGAAGCCAGCTGGGTTGCACAGCTAGTATCAATGTCAGATAGCAAAACAAACGAAAAATTAAAAACTGAGCTCAGCGGTTAAGAACACTTATTGCAAGCCTTAATGTGAAGTACTGGTTTTTTTTGTTTTTAGTTTTAATTTTAAAAATTAGGTGTATTCATTTTATGTGTGTTTTGCCTGCATGTATGTACGTACACCATGTGCATGTACTGGTGGAGGTCAGAACAGGGCATCAGATCTCCTGGAGCTATAGTTTCAAACGGTGGTGAACAGGCACGTGGGTTCTGGGAATTGAACCTGTCTGCTTCAAGAACAAAGTGCACAGGGACACGAGTCTCAATCGAATTACATTTTCCAAATAGAAATTGCAAATTACAGGTGTTAAATGACAGTGACAAGACAGAATGAAAGTCTGGCTATGGGCTGGAGAGATGGCTCAGCGGTTAAGAGCACTGACAGCTCTTCCAGAGGTCCTGAGTTCAAATCCCAGCAACCACATGGTGGCTCACAACCATCTGTAATGAGATTGGATGCCCTCTTCTGGTGTGTCTGAAGACAGCTACAGTGTACTCATCAATAAAATAAATAAATAAATCTTTAAAAAAAAAAAAAAGAAAGTCTGGCTATGTCTACTTACCCTCAAAGTAACGAAGTCCTCAGGTCTCTTCTGCCTCAAATTTCCTTTTAAAAACAATTAGGAAAAAAAACAAAAACAAAAACAAAAACAAAAAAAACAATCAGCATACAAAATAATGGGTTACATTATAAATTTTTAAAAGATTTGTTTATTGTATTTATATGAGTGCACTGTGGCTGTCTTCGGACACACCAGAAGAGAGAATCTGATTCCATTACAGATGGTTGTGAGCCACCATGTGGTTGCTGGGAATTGAACTCAGAACATCTGGAAGAGCAGTCAGTGCTCTTTAACCTCTGAGCCATCTCTCCAGCCCACATTATAACATTTTTAAAGATTTGGTTTTGTTTTCTGTGTTTAAGTGTTTTGCCTGTGTGTATGTGTGTACCATATGCATGCCTTGTTGTCTGCAGAGGTCAGAAGAGGGCATCAGATTGCCTGGATCTGGAGGGATGGTTGTGATCCATCATATGGGTCCAGAGTCAAATCTGTGTCCCCTGCAAGTACAAGTGCTCTTAACCACTGGGCCATCGCCAGCTCCATAACACTTCCATTCATATACACCCGTGTCCTGCACGTCTTTTATTCCCCACCCCCACCCCTTCCTTCCAACTGCTTCCTAATATGGCTGCTGGAAACTTTTACTCCCACCTTGTGCCCACGGAAGTAAGCTCACTCTGACTTTAAAGTTGGGGAAAATGGCTGAGTTTCCAAGAGTGCTGACATCTTCTCTGCTGTCTGCTTCATGATCCCACGGTCCTTAGTTTTTCTGTTTTGTTTTTGCTGCTTGCCTGAGAATTGGGCCTATCTCAAGATCAAGGAAAAGGCAGCTACTAGCCTTTCCTTTGAGGAAGATCTGACTGAGTCCTCCAAACCCAAGTCTAGGAAGTCAGCTGTGAGCCCTGCTGTCCATGTAGATCTGTGAAGATGAGGCTGGTCTGCATAGGGAGAGATCACTACTGCCCTATGTACATATTTGACTTTTCCATCAAAAGAACTTAAGCAAGGTGAAAGACACTGCAGAAAACCACAGAGGACACAGAGAGTTAATGTTCAGAATACAGTAAGGCCCATGACCCAACACAACAACCCCATTCTGCTGAGTCAATGATGTAGCCCAAACACAATACAGTGATTAACATGTGTTTAGTGTTTAGAAGAACCTGCCAAAAGCAGGAACCTTAGGACAGGACCTGGCATAGAAAGAGCTCTATCCCTTCTCCTAGAGCTTCTGGTTCTGGATGGGATGGATTCTAGTCACACAGAGGACAAGGACCCCAGACTGGCATTACCCAGTGCTATTTTTTGTGTGCTAGGGATGAATGTATGTGTATGGGGGTGTGCATACATGTACGTAGAGGCCAGAGGCTAACATCTGATGTCTGTCTCATTCTGTGCCTTTACATTTTTTTGATTATGTTTTATTTATTTTGTGGTGAAGTGTGGTGTGTGAAGGTCAAAGGCTAACTTTTGGGAGTCAGCTCTCTCCTTCTACCATGTAGGTTCTGGAGCTCCAACTAGGATGGTCAGACTTGGTAGCAAGTATCTTTACCCACTTAGACATCTTGGTTTTCCATCTTATTTATTTATTTATTTATTTATTTATTTAGAGAAAAAGTCTCATTGAAACTGGTGCTTGCTTTTGGTGGTTAGTCTGGTGCTGTTATGTACTTAAATGCTAAAACTTGTACCTCTCCAAGATATGGTTGCCCCAAGACAAGCAAATTCCTATGTACAACAACCTCTGTTGTGCAAATCTTGCTCCCCAATTTAAAACTATTGGTTAAATAAAAATGGCTACAATCAATTACTGGGGAGAATAATGAGAGGTGGAGTTTGAGTTACCAGGCTAGGGGGGTCACAGGTAGAGACCACGAAGGAGAAGTGAGAAAGGAGATAGAGAGAGGAAGAAGCTGTCAGGAGAGGAGATAGACCATGAGCATGTGGCCAGGAGAAATGGACCTTGAGAATAACCCAGTCGAGAATTAACCAGCAAGTTACACACCACATGTGACTAGGAGATAAGTTAGAATAGATCGAAGCCTGTCCAAGCTAGGCTTACAGCTTGTAAATATACCAGGATTTTGTGTCTTTTATGTGGGCTAGCTAGAATAAATAATTCTTTTTACAGCTTGCTGTACCAGGCAGTAGTGGAGCATGCCTTTAATCTGAGTTCAAGGCCAGCCTTGTCTACAGAGCAAGTTCCAGAACAGCCAAGGCTACACAGTTGGACAAAAGGCTAAAATTTGGGTATTTAAGAATTGAGATATAGGGCTGGTGAGATGGCTCAGTGGTTAAGAGCACTGACTGCACTTCCAGAGGTCACAAGTTCAAATCCCAGCAACCACATGGTGGCTAACAACCATCTGCAATGATATCTGATGCCCTCTTGTGGGGTGTCTGAAGACAGCCACAGTGTACTTACATGTAATAAATAAATAAAAATTAAAAAAAAAAGAATTGAGATATACCTTTGTGAGTTCAAAGCTAGCCTAGTCTACAAAGCAAGTCCCAGGACAACCTGGAGGCTATACAGTGAAGCCCTGTCTTGAAAAACAAAAGTTGGGAAGAATTGGTGTGGTCACCAAGAGAGAGATATCCGGCTCTTTTGATGCGGATCATGTGAAAGATGCCAATGGCAACCGTTTTGCCACTCGGCTTTCCAACATTTTTGTTATCAGCAAGGGCAACAAATCACAGATCTCTCTTCCCCATTGCTGAAGAGAGAGACAAGAGCCTGGTGGCCAAACAGAGCAGTGGGTGAAATGGTCTCTAGGAGAAATGCTGGAGAAGTATTTGTACTCTTGTTACTACAAGCCTTTCTAGGCAACATGCTAGATGAAACAGCATGATGAAACTAAACAAACTGAGACATTAGAAAAGTCCTGTGGGGCTGGAGAGATAGCTCAGCGGTTAAGAGAACTAGCTGTTCTTCCAGAGGTCCTGAATTCAATTCCCAGTAACCACATGGTGACTCACAACCATCTGTAACCTGATCCAACGCCTACTTCTGGTGTACTTATATACATAAAAATAAATAAATAAACCTTTAAGAAAAAAGAAAGAAAAAAGGTGCTTCGGAGCACATCTATGATTCTAGTGCCTGAGGCTGAGGCAGCGGGACTGCAGGTTGAGGTAAGTTTGTTTACATTATAAAGCCCTGGCCCCTGGCCCTCCAAGCCCTGCATTGAGATACTCTGCTGGCACAGAGATGATCAGTTGAGCCCAGGAGTTTTGAGACCAACCTGAGAAACTAGAGAGAACCTGACAAAAACAAATAAACGATTGCACTATCAGAGGATTTTGTTAGATGTGTTGGCCTTTTCCTTCCGGGAAAGGGAGCTGCTGCACTCTGCGCCACCTCCGTATCCAGTACAGTGCATTGCATACAGCACGCTTAGGGAAATACCTTTTCTTTTTTATTTGATAACTTCCCAGTTTAGTTCACATTCTTTCCTGACAAATAGCCATTTGAATTTGAGGTCACTTTTCTGAAAATGCTCTAAAATTACTTGTGCTTGCCTGTAACTTTTTAAATTGCTGATGAGAGAACACTCATAAACACACCACTATTTAGGCACACTTAGCTTTTTTTTTTTTTAAAGAGGCAAAGTGGCTCAAATGGGAACAAGGTTTAAAAAAACTAAACAAAAACCAAGTAAGACTAAAGATGTTAATTGCATCAATCTGTTGCTCCCATGTTTTATTATGTTTATTTTTTAGACAGGGTGTCACTGTATAGCCCAGGACGGCCTGCTGGGGTTCCAGGCCCATCATCACATCCAGCTTCTCTTCTCTCAAATACCTGAATACCCTCAGTGTGTCTGGGTTTAAACTCTTCCAATGTTAATGGAAGGTTGCTATGGATGGAGATATTGTCACAATAAGAGTCTAGAATAGAGAAGTATATTCAAGCATACAGCACCACTGGCTGCTGGCCATGTACACTCCAGATAGACCAGACGACCCAGGCTTGCTGGGCTCAGAGGTTGACCTGGACCTTGTAGGTCATTTTTACTTTA